ATTGAGAAGAATGGGAATTCCAGAACACTTAATTGTACTCATGAGGAACCTGTACATAGACCAGGAGGCTATTGTTTGAACAGAACAAGGAGACACTGCATGGTTTGAAATCAAGAAGGAAGTGCATCAGGGTTGTATACTTTCATCATACTTATTCAATCTGTATGCTGAGCAAATAATACGAGAAGTTGGACTATATGAAGAATAATGTGGCATCAGGATTGGAAGAAGGCTCATTAACAACTTGTAATATGCTGACAACACAACTTTCCTTGCTGAAAGTAAGGATGACACAAAGAACTTACTTATGAAGATTGAATAAAACAATCTGCACTGTGAATTCCATCTCAATATAAGGAAAACAAAAATCTTCACAACTGGACCTATAAGCGTCATAGACATAAATGGAGAAAAGACTGAAGTTTTCAAAGACTTTGTAATGCTTGGTTCTACAATGATGCCAATGGAGGCAGTAGAGGACATCAGACGATGTATAGCACTGGGGAAATCGGCTGCAAAGGACATCTTTCAAGTGCTGAAGAGGAAAGATGACTCCTTGAGGACTAAGGTGCACCTGACACAAGCCATGGTATTTTCAATCACCTCATATACATGTGAAAGCGGACAATGAATAAGGAAGACTGAAGAAGAGTTGATGCTTTTGAGTTGGGGTGCTGGTAAAGAATGCTGAAAGTGCCATGGACTACTAAAAGATCTAACAAGTCTGTCCTGGAGGAAGTGTAGCTGGAATGCTCCTTGGAAGTGAGAATGGCCAGACGTTGTTTCACGTACTTTGGTCATGTTATCAGAAGGGAGAAGGATGTCATGCTTTGTAAGGTCACTGTCCACAAATGAGGGGAGCCCCTCAACGATATGGATTGACAGTGGCTATGGGATGGGCTCAAGTATAGCAAGGATCATGGAGCTGGCGCAGGACTGGGCAGTGTTTTGTTCTGCTGTGCATAGGGTCACTATGAGTTAGAGATGACTCCACAGTACCTAACAAGAACAACAACAACAATTGTACCACATAAAAACATCATGAAGTATTTTTCTATTTATCATTTTGCTACTAGTATGTGTAATATTTCCATATTGTTTTAGATTCTAACTTATTACTATTGTTTTGATGTGTTTTAATATTATAATTTAAAGAGCTATCTTACTGATTCACCTAATTTTTTAGAGCTGATCTTCTGTTTTCTCTGGATAGATATTTGTATTATATAAAAATAAAATGAGAAAACCAAACTCACTGCCATGGAGTCAGCTCCAACTCATAGAGACTTCTCCTTGGGTTTCTGAGGTGGTATCACTAAGGAAGTAGATTGTGAGATCTTCCTTCTGAGGAGTGGCTGGTGGGTTTGAGCCACCTTCTAGTTAGCAGTCAAATGCCTTAGGCACTATACCACCAGAGCTCCCATTATATACAAATAATTAACATTTATTTACTCTTTCTTATCATTACACTTTCATATCTTTTCCACATTTCAAAGTATTTTTTTTTTAATTTCTGTAAAAATATAGTAAATAAATAACTCTAGTCTTATTCTTTATATAATTGAATATATTTTTTTATTGGTTAGATAGATTTTCTATATTATTGTGGTGTATCATTCTGTCCGTGGTTTACTTATATACACTTAGATAACTCAATAATGCATACATGCACTCACTGCCATCAAGTAGGATCCAACTCATAGAGACTCTTCCTTGGGTTTCCAAGGTGGTATCACTACAAAAGTTATTGCCCAACTATTTTATCAACTGAGTTTTACTGTGTATCCAAATAATATTACCTTCTTACCCCCTCAGTCTCTTAATATATTGAATTATATTACTTATTTGGTAAATTCGCTACTCTTGCATTTTTTGTAAAAAAAAAAAAAGAGTTTTAATTGAGAATCATTATATTAATAAACCAAAGTTCTGTTTATATTTCATTCAACTTTTTGCTGTATACTCATAAGTGAAAATTGTGGGGGTGAGGTGGGTTTTGGGTGAGTTCATTACCATTTTTGACTACCAGGATTGCTTGGGCTTGATAAAATTAATTGAAAATTATTTTTTTTTTTGTTTTCCCTTTATTTTAAAGTAGTTTGCATTATATATGTGTGTGTGTGTGTGTGTGTACTTCCTTAAAGTTTTGAATTACTGAAAAATAATATCCTTGAGATCAAATTTATTTGGAGTAATTCATTGACAGTTTTGTTCTGGACTATTGAGAAGGTAGATTTTATTACTCATAACATTTTTTTTTCCCTATTATCAAATTTTCTTGGTCATTTCCACTGGAATTTGCATAGCAAAATAATTTGAAAAGTGGGGTTTCATTGCCATTTTGTTCATGGAATTCTATGAAGCAGCTCTGTGGGAAGAACAGTATTGAACCCACTTGTATCACTGTGTACGTGTTTTTAAGGAATGTACCAACTCTTGCTGTGAGACCATGACCTGCAAATTGAAACCTGGAGCTGATTGTGGGGGAGAAACTGTGAACAATATCATGTAAGATTTTCTATTTTATTTTAATTTTTAAGTATTTTCTCACATTTATTTCATATTTGAGAAAGAAATGCCAAGGAGTTCTTGTTGTTGTTGTTAATGTGCCGTTGAGTCAGACCTGACTCATAGTGACTCCTGTTTCCGAGATGGTATCACCACGGAAGTAGATTGTCCAACCTTCCTTCTGAGGAGTGGCTGGTTGGTTTGAACCACCAGCCTGCTGGTTAGCAATCAAATGCCTTAGGCACTATGCTACCAGAGCTCCTCAAGGAGTTCTATAATGCACTAAACACAACATGTTCTATTTCAAAATTGACTGAATTTTGGAGGAAGAAAATAAAAGAGCCACCATTACAAACCTGAGTAACTCAAGGTTGTATGTACGTATAGTAATGAGAGAAAGTTGCTACTTTGACATCTGTGAGATTATGATAGCTGAACTTTGTGCTAAAAAGTTCATGAATTCTTGCTAGGCATTGATGAGATTAGTACAAATTAAATTCCCACACACACAAAAAAAATGTTTATTTTTTATTAAAGGTCTATTTTTAAAAACCTCAACTGATAAGCAAATTGTGTTTGTGGTTAAAAGCTAATAGCTGAAATCTGCAAGGCAGTCAGAAATTCAACATTTAAGGGCACATTGTAAGATTTGATGATTGTATTCCTTGTAAAGTGTCTGAATAAGTCATAATTCACTTATTATTTTTGTATTTCATACAACCCTATATGGGATAGATTATTTCTCTGAATGTGGTATTTGTTTCATTGAGAAATAATCTCTAAATCTGAAAATGAGGAAAAGAAATGGATAAATTAAATAGAAGGAGCTATTCTCATTCTCTTTCCTGAATATGGTCTAGAAATGAACCTACAGAGAGATTATAAGGGGAATAATTGTCTCAAACACCAGCAACAGTCATTTCCTCAGGAAAGAACCAGCAAGATCATGAGTTAGGGACCATTTCTCATTTATTCAGCACAGCCTACGTGAACCTCAGCATGAATCCACTCTGCCGGGTTCTGGAAGTTGCACTTGTCCTCTTATTTTGTCACAGAGGCCAGAAGCATGCCATCTCGGAAAACAACTGTCCAACTCTTTGGTGGCTTAGAATGAAAGGTGGACATGGTTATGTCCCCTGCCCAATTACTCAGCATGATAGGCAAGTTGGTATTGTGGAAAGAAAAGTGGACTTGGACTTCGGAAGCTTCAAGTCTGAATTCTGCCAATAACTATTGTGGGAATTTGAGTAAAGTTATTGAATTAGTTTTCTTACCTGTAAAATGGATGTAATTATACTGTTTCTTAGTATGGTGATATTGTTTAAATTCAATAAATGTTTTTGATCGTTAGTACTTAGTATGTTATAATTTATAATAACCAAACTTATTAGTTTTAAAATGTTTCCTTTTTAACAGACAATGAATCAAAGTCTATGTTCATTGAGATGCTATCTTCTCAGGACAAGAATCAGATAACTCGAAACCTGACAGAAATTGCACGTGTTTTCACCTTTGTAGCTAGATACATTTTGTTTTTCACTTATCATTCTGCCAACAGGTAAACTGATGTACTTAGTGAAGATGTATATTTCTTAAGGACTGATATTTAGTATACTTTTAAGGACCATGGACTTTAAAGTCCGGTTGATGATTTGACAGGAGAGTTGAGTTCATGTGTTATTTCTTACCCCTCAATGTTTAGTGTTTTGCTATGCAGTATTTTTCTATAGGAACTCTGGTGGCATAGTGCCTAAGGCATTTGACTGCTAAGCAGAAGGCTGGTGGGTATGAACCACCAGCCACTCCTCAGAAGGAAGTGTGGGCAATCTACTTCTGTAAAAATACTGTCTCGGAAACAAGACTCATTAAAGATAAACATTTTTCCTTTAATCATGTATAAAAATTGTATTCACCTTCACATGTGGAGTTTTATTTTTGAGAAGTCTACATGGTTTAAATTTTAAAGTATCCATCAAGCAATGATTTATTCACTTATTGATTTAATGAAATATGCTAATTAAAACCAGTTGCTGTGGTGTCAATTCCAATCATAGTGACCCCATGTGTATCGGAGTAGAACTGTGTTCCATAGGGTCTTCAATGGTTGACTTTGGAAACAGACCACCAGGCCTATCTTCTGAGGCACCTCTGATGGCTTGAACCTCCAACCTTCTGCTTAGCAGCTGAGCACATTGACTCTCTACACCATCCAGAGAGTCCTAATGAAATGTAATGTACAATAAATAAAAATATAGCATTTTAAGTATTTTTTGAGTGGTTATTTTAGGAAAGGAACATTTTTTAGCTTCTTTGTAAATTTGTTTTAAGTGTTAAAGCAACCAGCCTCACATAATTAGAACATATTCCCTCTGGTCATTGGAAAGTATTGCCCCAGATAGCCAAGCATCACTATTCAAGGATAAGAATAATACGTCATGTGTCTTTTAATGTCCAAAATACAATGACTTTAGGCCAGTTACACAAAAAGAATAAGATTCTTCTTTAGGTCTTCTTTAAAAATTTATTAAAGGTTGCTCACATTTCCATAAATGCCTGTTCTTAAAGAATAGCACTTGGACACACTTCTCACCACCAGGATTTGAATCTACCAGGCTTCCAGAAAGCCATACCTGTAGTTGCTGACTCTCTGCCCTTCATTCCTCAATGTTACTGGTGGTTGGCACTGCAACCACCAATACAACTATAAGCCAAGCTGCATTGAAGATGCTACAGGCCCAGGGCCTGACTTGTCAAAATCTGTCCTGCCCTCTGGTCAGATTCAAATGCCAGACCATTCTTCCAAGAAAAGAAGGCTTCTGAAGACATATTTTCTCTCCAACTCAGGCTCAGGTGGAGATTTCTTAAAGGAAAAATAGCTTAAAATGCAAGAATTACAGCTAATGGTATACCGTAAATGATTTGTACTGACTTGCAGGCCAATTGTTAAAATTTCTGGAAAATTGTGAGCTAGTTGTTAAAAACAGCTATTTTAAAAAACAACTCTCTATATATTTGTGATTACATAAATTACATTTGAAACAAAAGGAATACTCAAAAATGGATCACTTTCTAATTTTTATACTACATTTTACTAATCTATGCATTTATGTTTATTTAGGTCTATTACATCTACATAGTGGAACCACTGTGTAATAGAGTGCTAGTACATACCTTCCCCAAACACCATGTTTATCACCTTAGTACCTTGAAATCATAATTTACCACAGCAATAGGCAAAAGATTCAAATAAGGGCTTAATCTGTTGTTTTGTTTATTGTCTATACTTAAGACAGTGGTGGAAAAATGCTAATAAAGTGGAATAAGCTTAAAAGTATGTCTTGTTTTAGCATTGTTGTAAGGTACATCATCAAGACACACAAATCAGTTGAGTTCTTTTACAATAGAAGGAAGAAATATGAAAAGAAAATAAGAAAATGATACTATTTACAATAATCCCTCTGGTGGTTAAGTTTGTGTGTCAACTTGGCTGGGCCTGGTTGAGTGGCTGGGCAGCTGGTGGTAGTTATTCCCCATGATGGGACTGGCAATCAACTCCATTCTGGGATCTACCACAAGAAGCTGAGTAGCTGCTTTAGGGATGTGGTCTGCTTCCTGTATATAAGCAGCATCTTTGGGAATGGTCTTTATGGCATGTTTGCACCCTGCATGTAACAGTGTCATTGTTTGGTAATCTGCCATGCTCTGCCAACCTTGGGACTTAAAATGGACTTGAATTAATGGCCTGCCATGTGGTTTGGTAACATTGGGACTATGCCATTTTATTTGTCAACCTTGGGCTTATTAGCCTCAGCAGCCAGTAGCTGCCTGAGTGAAGAGATGCCTCTAGCTTCAGTGGACCAGGAGCAAGAGGCAGAGCTCAAACCCAAGGTCAACGGACTTTCACACAGCCCCAAGAGCCTGGCACTTTGAACTTGGACTTAAAGCCTCTAAACTGTAAGATAATAAACTCCTGTTTGTTCAAGCCATTGCATTGGTGGTATATTTCTGTCAGAGCATCACTAGGAAACCAGAACAGCCCCCAGAATGATAAAATACCTAGTAATAAGCCTAGCCAGAAATGTAAATAAATAAATAAATTTAAAAAAAAAACTATAAAACAGTAATACAAGAGACTAAAAAAGATCAATGATCATGGATTGGGAAACTTAATATTATGAAAATGTCAGTACTATCCAAAGCAATCTATACAATGCAATACCAATCCAAATTCAAGCAAACTTTTTTGTGAAATGGAAAAACTTTATATTTCTAACTTTATATGGACAGGAAAGAGTTTCTGTATAGACAAAACAATATTGAAGTAGGTGCCCTCACACTTCCTGATCTCAGAATATACTCTACAGCTACAGTAATCAAAATGGCCTGATATGTTGATAGACACATAGAACAGTGGAGTAGTATTAATAACCCAGAAATAACTCCACTCATCAAAGGACAACCTACTTTGAAAAGGGATCAGAATCCATCCACTGGAGAAGGAACAATCTCTTTTAAAAAAGGTGCCAGCAAATTGCATATCTATTTGAAAAAAAAGAAAGAAAGAAAGAATCAGGGCCCAAACCTCACACCATACACAAAAACTACTCAAAATGTATCAACAACCTAAATGTTAAAGCTAAAACTATAAAATTGTTGGAAAAAACAAGGTTTTTTTATTTTAAATAAAATAGATTATCAAACACAACCACAAATGCACAAACAGCAGAAGACAAATTAGATAACTGATACTTCATAAGAATTAAATACTTATGCTTATTGAAAGATTTATCAAAAAGTGAAAAGAAAACCTATACACTTGGAAAAAGAATTAGGGGAATGATATATCTAGTAAGGTTGTGCTGCTGTTGTTATGTGCTTTTGATTCGGACCCGACCTGTAGCAACCCCTCCTTTGGTTTCCGAGGTGGTATCACTACGAAGTAGGTTGCCCAACCTTCCTTCTGAGGGTTAGCTAGTGGGTTTGAAGTGCCAGTCTTCTGGTTAT